AAACCTTTAAGAAAGATATTATAACTCTCTATCTTGATACATTGCATAGAAAAATTTGTCTATTTTATAATAGGATGCTATGAAGAGAAGTGTTGTGGGAATTTGGTCCTGTAAGCGCTGTAAGAGAACAGTTGCTGGAGGTGCATGGGTTTATTCCACCACAGCTGCTGCCTCTGTTAGGTCTGCAGTTAGGAGATTACGCGAAGTTAAAGAACAATAAATAAATGTAATAAATGTTTCATAACAATATTTTGTCTACTTTATTTAAACCCTTGGTCCTACTTTTATTTTATTAAATAGAAACTATTTAAGAATTACTATATAAAGGAGCAATATTAAAACAAAGATTAATTTTTGATAAATTTAATATGTTCATGACAATTCAATGTATGATACATGAGACTTAAATTGTTCTAAGGAATATTCAGTAATGTAAGATAGAATTTTAATTGTTGTTTAAGTTAAAAAGAATATTTAGAAATTACTTTGGAGGCACATCAAAACTATGGTATATCTATTTACATTCACATTCTCTCTGTTCTAATGAAGTATATCAAACTTCACTATAAATAGATACATTATTAATTTTATAAATTTTCTGCAGTGAATTTTATTTGATTGGAGCTTTATGTAAAACATGAATTTATATTATTTTGACTAAATTAACTAATCTAATTAATGCTTAAAAAAGCATGGAATTTTTGAAAAATATATAAGTATTAACCACTGAGATTAGCCGTTACGCACATATGTATATTATTTAAACTTAGTAGAACTTACATAGGTTATTTTATTGTCTTTGAAGGTATGTTAATTTCAGTATTTTTCTCTGTTATAAATGATTTAAAATCTTTTTTACTTATTAAACGATATTAATGTACACATACACAAATTCATGTGTAACATAAAAGTTTAAAAGATGACTACAAAATTTTTTTAAATAAATGCTATCAATTTGTATGTCTGTACCAATAGATAATCTTTAATGTCCCAATGTAATTCTTACAATTATTTTCATTAATGATATAATTTTTATAAATAACTCTAAATATTAGCCTAAGGTGAATTAAAATAAAAATAATAAAACACATATAAATTCACGATGCAATGGACAATTTAAAATTTAACTAAATTTTATAAATTTAAACAACTAACAAATTATCTACAAAATTCTGCTAATACATTTCGTAATTGAGTCGCATTTTCAAATAATATATTGATTTAATAAAAAATCAAGTCCTGTACAAAAATAAATACTATCGTCTTGCATGAATAATTAAATATATAATTAAGCTGTAAACGATAATTTGTTGCACCATCACCATTCTTTCGTGTAACGTAAGATTGAGTATATTCTTTGACATTAAGGTTGTCCTAAATTGGAATTTTTAGTGTCATATATATTTTAAATATTATAAATGTAGTTTAATGTCTTCTCATTAGAGTTGCAGAATCAATTAATTTTTTCCCCTCAACTTCAAATGTAAGTATAACTATCAGTCAACATTTTCAAGAAACAATGTTTTACTTTGTTGTTGACCATCTTCCTTTTTTCGAAGTATGAGAAATGTTTAACTTCAGTTTATTATAGTAATGCAAGGGAAGGGCTCCAGAATCTGATAACAACATTTTTACATTAGTCACAGGAAACTGTTTCCTTCATGTCATACTCAACAAGAATATTGCACTCTAAATTTTCGGCACGCTCCTAGTATGTAGAAGGTAAAAAGAGTCTGAATCTATGAAGAATTATAACTATGTAGGGTGTTAGGAATATCATAAAAATATCTAGCCCCATTTTTTTTTAAGAAAATACGGAAGACATTCTGTCTCGAATTTAAGAAAGTATTTAAAAGTATAACAGTACAGTGAATAACAGTCGATAGTTTTTAATATTCTTAAACGATATCTCGTTAATCTCATATTGCTATGGCGAATTCAGGTATACGTACATTTATCCTTTTAAACAAATAAAAAAGAAAGTAACAACTAAATTATACGAACGAGATGCAACAAGGAACTGTTAGAAATATCAGTATAAAAAGATTCAGTGCTCTTCCCTAATTGCTAGAAAATTGTACAGTACAAGTTCTAAATCGTAATCGGTAGTGTCACAATAATTCCACTTGCACCCCCAACATTCATTCTGTAGTAGTGTGATCATTTATGCCATAAAACATATCTGTGTTTTAGCGCACTGATATATCTTCCAGTCATCCAGCATTGCACTCATCCCATATTATCAAATATGTCTCTCTTCTCTTGTATTAACAATTATTTATTTATAACAGTGGTCTGATATGCTTTCCTCTCTACTGTTTACTAGAAAAAGAAATGTTCACATACGTGTCTCTTCGTATCACTTGTGTACATCCACACACAGCTGGAAATAGTTTTCTTTTCTTTCAACACTCTTGTGCATTATCAATCAAGGCATACCATGAAAAATGGCAGTAAATACACGATATACTGCTAGTAACAGTAAATAAATCCTATGTAACTAAAAGCATTAACTTCAATCTCCTGTACTCAAGGTGTAGTCAATTTCAGTTTCATGATCACCATCAAGTTTGTCGGTATTCAATGGATCGACAGAACGTGATACTGGGCTAGTTTTCACGGAACATTTAATACTATTTTCCTCCTTGATTTTGCATGTATGAAAGTTTCTTGACTACATCAGTCCTTCAGTGTAGCATTAAATAGATCAACAAGTATTACATGCAGATGTTGCACTTAGAAACACCTCGTATTAGCTGGCTTGCCATTTGAATTTACTACGCATTATCCATTTCTGACCGATGTTATGTGAATCACACGGTGCTAAGACAGGTTGCATTGCGTCGTTGGGGCGAGGTTTCGACAAACAGTGTCCTGTGTTAGTATGTTTGATCATTTTTGTCTAGAAATGAATGTATATGTTTTAACGAAACACCTTTCCCCCTGAAAATTCTATACAGCTAAAAATTCTACATGATTATGTACCTCTTCGTTATAAACCCATGCTTGATTTCCACCCATACCGTGACATCTTACTATTTTGACAGGACCTTGGGGACTAGCTGCATCAAGGCACATATCATCCGACATAATTTGCTGTCGTTTAGTATAAGCAAACACCTGTATATAAAAATTCTTATTAAAACTGATGGAACTGATATTTAAAAGAAATGAAAGAAATGACATTCAGTTATTTACCTGATTGCCACCTAATCCATGGCAATAACTAATTCCAACATTTTCGCCAGTTCTCCTACCCATAGTGTCCAAACAAGTTTGTGTATCAACATTTTGTACATCACCCAGATAGTGATAATCTAGTGGCATTGGAGATTCAGGATAAATGTTCTCCAAGTACCATCTAAAGCTTTTACACTTGAGACGTTCTCTTAACTTAATCCTTTCAGACACATCTCCAACAGCTACATTTCGCGCTCCTATAAAATAAAACGATCATTTGAATATCCCTCGATTAGTATTTTATTTCGGCCTATGTAAATGCAATAATGTGCTTGCATGTATGAACGTTCACTGAAAGAAGGGTGTGTTAAGAGTATGTGCTAAAATAAAGATATTGCCATGTGTGGTGTACTGATGCTATATGCTTGCACTTGGAAATAACTGTGCTATTGTACATCGATATTTCTTCACGCTTTAAATCGAGAAGGAAAAAGTTCTGTATTCCTCTCAATACAGAGTGTGTAAAGGAACTACTTCGGATCAAGTAGATTGTATCTTTTTTTATTATTATTACAAACCTCTTTCTTGAGGCTACATCTATAATCTAAAATAGCATTTACTCGTCTTAAGAATGCACAAAATAAAATGAAATGTTTCCACATTAGTTCCCTGACATTAACGGGTATCTGATATATGCGTATGTAGGCTGGTACCCGGCTGCATTATTAAGCTTACAATTACAATGCAACTTATAAAAGCATACCAATCACCCGACAGGAAGAGTAAAACATGCAAGCTAAAAAAAGCAAAAAAAAAAGAAGAAAAAACAAAATACGGTAAAGGCCGTTTATGGAGAAATCAGCGAATATTGCAGTCTATTATTTTCTCTTTCCAGTAATGCTGGTGTTAGTGCTACCTGGATTAATGTTGTAATAGAAGTACTTCCATTGGTCCAACCAGACCTCTGTGAGTCGCGCATTGTTGTGGTTCACTATCTTGCTGGTACCACCAGGGAATGTATATGGTGTTGACTTACGGAATACATGACCGACGTGCGAGCACGTTGCGATTTCCAATGTCCCACCACACATCCATATCTAACCAACTCAGTTCTGTTAGTATGTTAGCAATTACAAATGATTGTTCATAAACACGAAATAAAGAAAAAAAAAAATACAGAAAGAGCTAATACATTGAAATTCAGAATCAGATTGTATAATTCAGACGGACGCTCGTTCTCCTCTCTCTGGTACCTATAATATATTATTCGCTGATAAACGTATCAAAAAACAAAGAAGCAAGCAAATTCATTTTGTTAGTCGGCTGGATGGATGAGTGGTTAAGACTATACCAAAGTATATATTGAAATGCAAAGAAATCTATTGTATTCCTGCAAATCAAATTTCATGGCTAAAATTCAACTAAAATCCCAGAATCCGTTTTACATATATGGACACATACACACACGCACGCGCGCATACATACACACCAGACAAAAGAATATTCAGACAAAAATATGTAACAGTAATAACAATACATTGATATATTAGTGACACTAACAAACACGCTTAAGATTAATTTCGTAATCAAATGTGAATAAACTAAGTAATTATGGGTGTTAATATTTTCAACATCTAGCTTGTTATATATTGTTACTAATTGCAATCTTTATTATTTGGAAAGATCCTACGTTTCAACGAGAGTAGAATACAAACACATTTCAATAACTTTTTCACATTGGGTATAAATAAAAAAGTGTGCTATAATATAGTTTTCTTTTTATATTAATATTATAGCACCGGTTGTATCAGATACCCGTCAAATACGTGTAAATATTATCAATATTTCGAGTACATATTCTACCAGTATGCAAGTCCGTTTTACATTAGAATCGACTAATAACTATGTGATGACAAATAGCAAACTTCTAATATGATTTTACCTTCTGTTTCTTGTAGGAAATCTGTTTTCTTGTAAAGATAAAATTAAAAGAATCGCACACTTTTCTACAACAAAACTTAAAGATTGTTAAGGTTTTGTCTAGTATCAGATAATTAGCGTTATTAATTGGCGTAGTTCATGTAAAAAAAAAAAAAAAAAAAGTATACAAATGAAATGATACACGCTGTTATCTAACCTGGATTCATGGCATAGTAAAAATCTCTCCACTCATCCATCCAGACTTCGGCCACCCTAGCCGCATTGTTTAGAACTACTTTGCTGACACCACCAGGGAATGTATACGGACTCTTGTCTCGGAACACATGTCCAACGTGTGAACATGGGCTGATCTCTAACGTCCCACCGCATTGCCATACCTACAAGGTACTTATGACTTCACAAATGAAGATAAAAGTGTCCACAGCTAAACCCTCTATGCTTGGAATTATTAAATGTTTTACACGATCATATTTTCAAAACTCCAGTATCCCCAAGTACACAAGTTACCCATTATTTAACATCAGAATTCTTAAAGTGTCTTTATACTTTAATTATTCAAACAGGTAAAGCATCAAGACTTTAAATTCTGACGTTAATCGTGATTACTCAATTAACTTCTACATCACAACAGCATACAGAGAAGAATTTAACAGATAACTACAGGTAGACACAGAGAGAAATTTTTCTTATGGAGCTAACAGCATTAAAGATTCAGCGCAATCAGCTGTAAAAGCAAATACAAAAAAAAACAGATGTACGTTTGAATTTCCTCTTTTCTTTTCTTTTTTTTTTGGAAATAAAAAAACAATTAGTTTTCTGTAGGGAATTACCTGCAAATTGTTTTTAGTCACCATAATTTACATTAAAAATACTGGAATAATACACGCATGTATATTCCGTGTTCGATACTTTTTATTTGTCCGCGTGTTTCGCAACTTCATTTCCATTAAATAATCTGACCGCGTAAGGTAAATACTGTCATCGATCAATACTCACCCGGAAGCTCATTTCGAGGTTTTCACCGCCCCAAATAACCATGCCATCATCGTACGCTCCCAGTTCATAAAAATACTCCTTATCAATAGAAAATAACCCACCAGCCATTGTTGGCGTTCTCAATGGAGCCGTTCTGTCTCCCAATCTTCTATCCATTTCTCTTTGCGCCACTCTGTACCTTGAAGATTTAAAACGTTTCATATTAATGAACCAATTAATGAAAATATCCATTAATAATATATATATATATTTCCTGTTTCCTTCAAAGTAGAAAGTTCAGGAAGCCAATTTACCATCTAAAGTTCAATTTCCAATTGAAACCACCCCACGTCATGTCGCTAGCTGGAATATACTCGAAGGTATCGTCGCTAATTACATCAATAATGGGGCAAACGACGGTGGTTCTGTCATCAGCAATTCTCGAGAGCAAAGGTTCGAGCCAACCTTGTGTGCATTCGCAATGGGCATCCAGGAATGTTATAACTTGTCCCTTCACGTGCTTTGCACCGAGCAGTCTCGCTCTGATTAGGCCAGATCTCTTCTCCGTACGGTACACATACGTAGGGACTGGCAGAGTTTTTACATAATCCTCCAGTTCTTGTTTCAAGTGATCTGTGGATGAAGAACAATCGTTAACAAAATAGAATTTTACAGAATGAAAAATAAAAAGTAGGGGAACTGAATGTTGGTAGCTGTTTGTTCCAATTACAACAAAGCTACTGTATCTCGACAAAATTTATTCCAAACTCTAAAACCTACACTCTCAAGAGCGCTCACGCTTGAGAAGCAGCCGCGCCAGACATTACAACACCACAGTCATTCAAAACACCACACCCATCCATTGAAACCACTCCTCATACCAGACCAAACCCAGTTCCTCCACAGTCATGAGAACATCCCAAGGATTCACCTTGCTCGCTCTTATCGTCTACCAGAATGATCTCCTTGAGCAGTGTCCTCGGGGACCGATTGATCACCGACCAAACGGTCCTCAGCAGCGTACTCCACGCCTCCTTGTGGAACACGATCACTATACTAGTGTCAGGCAAGTATTTGTTGTACTTCTTCGTCTTACAACCCTAGATTGAACTGATTCAGCTTGAAGAGCTCCTGCTGCCTAGCTTCATCCTCTGGCGAGATGTGCACCGCTGCGCCCATCTCGCCGGGCATTCCCTTGTTCTCGCGAACGACCTTAGCCGGTCTCCATAAATGCAGCTCCGATTGCTTGTATCGTCTCTTGCTCTGCAAATCACCCGACTGAAATTGTTCGTCTTTTAGCGCAGCGGTGTTCGAATGGGACAAATTTTCCTCCGTGAGCATCTGTTGCTGTTGCAGCTTGTTGTTCTCTGCGCAACCCCATCCGGACCCTCCGATACAGTCCGAATAGAGCATCAGCACCATCACGTCCACCAAGAACCATACCAGCGACGTGAGCAGTATCACTTGACACGTGTGAATGCGAATCCTGGAGCGGAACATATTGTCACGGGGCCGGTCACCTGGTACCCTGAGCTCATCACCCGATCTTCGTGGTTGGTGGCGCGACGAGCTGCTCTCTGTATGGCTCTCTTGATCAACGACCGTTCGCTACACCGAATCTGAAGGGAGGTCAGCCGGTCAGTCTGCTCTGCTGGTCCAACGAGTTACATGACTACGCTGGCTGCGCGTTTCGCGATCTGGAAATAGGAGGATTTTATTAGATTGTTATTTTAGAAAACAAAAAAAAGAGAAAAAAGAAACAATGCTTTGGTAGATTTAGGATGGTCAGAACTACAGAGAGGTATTGATTTTCGGATCTACCATCGTTGTGCAGCTTTTTTTATTGGCGTTCGATGAATGCTAGTGACGAAAGTTCTTTCGGTTTAATTGTTTATCGTGGTGGAATGGAAGAGACTGAAAAGAAAAGCATGATATTTTGTAAGTTGTTAAACCTATTGAGTGACTAAAATGTTTAGAATTAAATTTCTTTTTTTAAAATCACGCGGTCGAACGGGGAAGATTTAAGTAATGGCGTTGATTAACGTAGTGGATCGAGACGAAGTTGACCAAGGTTTCCCTAGTTCCCTAAATTTCTGTCAATTCGCTTGTTTAAGCGTATTATATTTCTTGCCGCGACGATGGGTTGTTAATCAGTGTTACCAGGCCACTGCAGTGGTGATCGTGAATTTATGGTTGTTAAGAATCGGTTCATGACACGTGGAATATAGGGTCACGCTAATTCTGGGAATCGAAAAGGGGGAAAGTGAGGATACAAGGTCGAGAAATTGTCTTACTGTCACGACTTTCTAAAATTTGCTCACAGCCAGTTAACACGCCTCTTGCCGTACGAAAATCGATTTTTTTAACAGAACTTTGAGATCAAGTCAATCAAATATGTAAGACAGATGGATGAAGAATGACATTTCATCAATAAACCATTATTCAGTTTTAAGGTACTGTTCATTTTCTTAACACATGATTCTTCGCGTCAATTTTCCTCGAAATCTTTCCAGTAATTTTGAACATCTGTTAAACGATAATTCAGTCAGTTGGTAACGTTTTAAAATAATACAAGAAACGAAATATTATTCATTCCAAATGATAAGAAAGAAAACGGTACGATCTACTTTACCTACCAGCAACGCATTAAGACATTTAATTACAAAAGAAACCCTAATATAATTTTAATTTCTCTTCATACCCATCTAATTTGAACAACGAGTCGAAAACCGTCTTTATTTGTTTACTAAAAGCTTTACCCTCGGGCTACTACATTAATTACCCAAAACAATTTCGTCGATTAGCCCTACACAGCCAATAGCCGCTACGCGAGCTACACACATACATAACCTCCATCAACGTGTCACAATATCCTGGCGCAGTGCACGTACCCTGTCTGCTCATCGTCACTTATTCCATCCTACAAACCGCAAAACCTAAACGAACTTTGACCCCCACGGGACTAATCCTTCCAGTAAAAAACTCAACCGTCCAACCACGTCTAAACGAGCTTAAAATTCAGCCGTTGGCAGCAGCGTATGCATCGATAAAGAACGATCGACCGATCGATTCCAGGCAAAATGGACGTGACACCCGTTACACGTCCAGAACCCTGTGGAACGTTAAACAGCTTGCTCATAAGTATTTCAATACCGGGTATAAATAATTTCGTTTCAATGTGCATATTCGTACAGTTTAAAAACTGAAACACTGTTTCGATTGGTACAGCAAACGTTCTTGCGGCGAACAATCGAGCCGGAAGTCACGCGAGCCCGTTTATTTATCACATGTGTATTATGCACGAGGACCATTTACCATTATCGATTCGTTTCCACTCGTTCCTTGGCACGTACGAGCGAGAACTGTGGAAAAGAGAGCGAACGAACCTGTGTGCTCGATACAAACTGCACACAGTGCACATTCTTGCGTTTTCGCTCGCGATTCCCGCGCGCGCACAGAGAGTTCCTGTGCCGGTTTGAATATTACACGAGCTTGAATGGGCAGAAAAAAAAAGAGAGGAGAGGCGGTTCGCGCTCGGAGGCACGATTTCGAGAGCACGAGGAGGAACAAAGACGGTCCTGTACCACATTTTATGCGTTTTGATCGACGTAGGGATCGAGAGGCTGCTTCGAATAGCCGCTCGCTCTTTTTTATGGCCGTGGATATAGACAGGGGAACGAACGTGATAAATGAGAGATGAGAAAACCTTTTGCCGATGGGAGTTGATCCTTTCTTTCGGGAAATGGCTGCTGTCTCTTTTTTTGCGCTGAAATTTGAAATTCTTCATAGGTATTGCTGCTTTTTTTTCTTTTTTTTTATCGAAAGGCGTTTAGCAAATAAGCTGCACTGGAAATTGTTAACCTCCCGCGCTTCACTGACGCCGTTGTATTAGAATAAAGATAATTAATAGAAGATGTAAAAATAAATTTCTTTTCGATGCGAAACATTTCGCTTTCAGAAGTTTCTCACTGCAAAAGTGTGCTGCTTGGTCGATCGTATAAAAAAAAAATTCTCCGAGAACAAAGGGTTAATTTTACAGAGGAGATAATTAAAAGTATGTACGTAAAAAGATGCGCTTCGGAAATAGCTTGTTGAAAGTTATAATTATCGTAGAAATGAAATTGGTTAATTAAAAATATTTGCCTGTGTTGCAGGTACTCGATTGAGAAATTGTTTCTGGACAATTGTAATTGTTGCAAAGGTGGGATTTATCGATTGATCTAACGAAAATTCGTTTGACAAATACTTCTGCAAACGTTGCAAATTTTCACAGGTGTAAAATAAATTAATGGAAAGTACAGTGTGATTTATAGCATGAATAAATGTATTCTTTTTTTTTGTCGTTAATTTGTAGTATGACTCTTTCAGAATCTCACGGGTGTTGCTTTACATTTGTTCCTGATCTAAGCATCTAAAGATCAGATAATGAATACCTTCTTTCTAAGTGTTATTAAGTAGGATAAAAAGATACAGCAGGAAGAGAGTTAATTGGAGCTGACATATGACTAATAAAGTACAGCAAGGAGTGTAATTAGAAATAGATTTAACACAGAATTAAGCTAGTCGAATTTCTTTCAACAGAAACCTGTGGCTCGACATGATTCATAATTGGACTTCTCTGGGGAAGCAATCTCATGACACCAATCTGAAAAGGATACTCATCTCAGGATTTTTCTTTCAAGCAATATCACAATAACAATATCCTGTTTCTTGATACAACTGGATGCAATGAAATGAGTCTAGATCAATCCTTACTTAAACGCTACTCTCGCAAAAAATTCTTTATCCTGAAATCTCCCATTCTATCCACAGAAATTGAAGAAGAAAAAGCAAGCCATTGAAGATCTTGAAGAAAAACCAACTCTCAACATTTACACTCATTGTCTCATCGAATTAACCATTTTTCCACTACTCTCAACTTCTCACAAAATCAGCATGGAGATACATACGGATCCCTGAGGAAAGGTGAAGAAAGAATACACAAACAAAGCCATGAAAATTCAACAAAGAACCAACTCTCGACGTCTCTTTCCAAATTCTATCATTCTCATCCCACTCAATTACCCATTCCTCAAGCGTTACAACACAGCTTCTTCTTTAAACCAGCATAGAAACAATTTTCTATTCCCAAAGCCGGTTGCTGTTGGGGCAAGATAAAGAGGCGAAACAAGAAGAGCGGAAGGAAGGAAGGAACTCGTGCTGGCCCATTACTTATACAGTTCATAAGCTGCTTAAGGCTACAGAGAAGAGAAAGAGAGATCCAGCGACCGCGAGGAGCGTGCACAGAAAGCGAGAAGCCCGTGGTCGTTGTCACGTTTATAATAATGATCGAGCGATCGCGACCACTGTTGGAAGTGTTCCGTGGAAATTCATGGAAACAAACGAACAGTCTTGCGTGCCTGTTACCGTGCACCAAAGTGGAGTCTAACGAGGACGTCCCTGGGAAAACAGGCCGAAACAGACCGCCTCCTGGTGGATGTTAATTAATTAGCGTCTCCGTTAAATCATTCACTTTCATCGAGATAGAGAACGCGTGTCGTGGCTGATAATTGTATGCCATAGGAGGAATACACGAAACGGAATCGGCTTCACCTGTGAGCTTTCCCTTTTTCGCACTTTAACGGAGTACAAATTTTGCACTTTAACGGAGTACAAATTTCGAATGATAGAATTTATCACTGTTGCTTTTCTCTTTAAATATTCGAATATTACAAAGAGGCATTTGTAAAATTGCAATTTTACTGCATTTTGATAAACAAATGAAAATACCTCGATGTAGATAGAAACGAAAGGATTTTAAAAAAGAAGGGACATCGTTGATTAAAAGAAGAGAAATATTTTCTACAATTCTACTGCAGCTTTTCATTCTTCAGGCAGTTTTAAATTCCCAAGGAGGGTCTAGGGTTGGTAGCGAGACAACGACGGACCGTGACGCGTTAATAAAACCCCTGTGTCTCGGTGTTTCGGTCGTTCAGCATCCAGAAACGCAAGTTTCGCGCAGCCAGCCGGCGGGATGCTCCAAGTTTGATGAGAACGCGCCTCGAGGACTCTGTTCGAGGCTGGAACCAAGTCTGCCATGCAATAAGCGGCTGGACGAACTTCGACCTGCTGGATGAGGAATGTTAAACAAAATATCTCTCGAGTTGGGTCGCGAATCTCGTGACGATAGTTCGAGGCTGGTTTGTCAAAAGGGTGGATTTTGTTTCATTTCACGCAGGAGAGTTCTGTAGTAGCCTCTGGAGAGGGACTTGTAATTTTAATTAGTATTGTAGAGGAATTGGTGTGCTGCCTATAGCTTAGGTTTATGAATTTTGATTGTTTCCTTTTTTTATCTTTTTAAAGGAGATACAGTTGGTGGTATTTAATTGTATCGTGGTTCTTCATGAATATTTAAGAGAGTAGATAATTAATTTAACTGTGTATTACAGTCTGATAGAGCTTGCCAAACACAACGCCATAATTTTCATTCTGTATATAAGGAAGCTCAATTTATTTCATCTTATCAACATTAAATTCCTCTTATTCTCAGATTCATCAATGAGATTTCAATGATTTGAGGCTTTGAAGCAATGCAAATAAAAATTCTAAATTTTTAGTGTCATAAAAATTCTGTGCAGTTGTGTCTTTAATACAGTTTCAAAGGAAGCTCTTCTTTAAAAAGAATAAAAGAAAGGAAAATTGCCAAGTCTGTGCAGTT